TTGGAATCTTTAGCAATAAAGTTTGAAAACAGCTTCTGTAAAAACTTTATTGGGCTTCCAGTGATTGGAGTACAGCCAACATCTAGAGGTGTAACCAGAGGGTGGCAAGACACAGCATGTGCCCTCGGCGCTGATAAGGGGTGAGGTGGGGGTGCTTGACATATGATGGAAAGGAGGGGTGCTTGTCATCAGTGAGTCTGACAGGTGATGGTAAAGGGGGGTGGGATGCTTGACATGAGTGAGTCTGACTGATGATTCTTGAACATACTTTGGTAAAATCATTGACCTCTTTAGTGAAGGCAAGAGGGGTCAAATGTAATGGAAAATGTATGTTGTACTCGGATACTGTACTTATACTCACATACTGTACTTGTACGCAGGTATTGTACTTGTTTATAAAGTGTTTTTATTGAAATGTTTTAAGTGATGCTTCAATAAAAAAATATTATCCTCTATGAGAACTGAACCTATTCAGAGTATTTGCTCTAATAGTTAATTATGAAGAAATATAATTGTAAAACTTAATATGGTGGCCAGTGGCCAGTCTCCCTTCATAGTTCAACATCATTTTGGTCAGATCTAACCATATGAATATGTCTACATCATTCTGGCCAGTTCTAACTGAATGAATGTGTCCACATTATTCTGGTCAGTTCTAACTGAATGAATGTGTCCACATTATTCTGCTCAGTCCTAACTGAATGAATGTTTCCACATCATCCTGGTCAATTCTAACTGAATGAATGTGTCCACATCATCCTGGTCAGTCCTAACTGAATGAATGTGTCCTCATTATTCTGGTCAGTCCTAACTGAATGAATGTGTCCACATCATCCTGGTCAATTCTAACTGAATGAATGTGTCCACATTATTCTGGTTAGTCCTAACTAAATGAATGGGTCCATTTCATCCTGGTCAGTTCTAACTGAATGAATGTGTCCACATCATCCTGGTCAGTCCTAACTGAATGAATGTGTCCACATCATCCTGGTCAGTCCTAACTGTATGAATATGTCCACATCATCCTGGTCAGTTCTAACTGAATGATTATGTCCACATCATCCTGGTCAGTTCTAACTGAATGAATGTGTCCACATCATCCTGGTCAGTCTTAACTGAATGAATATGTCCACATCATCCTGGTCAGTCCTAACTGTATGAATATGTCTACATCATCCTGGTCAGTTCTAACTGAATGAATATGTCCACATCATCCTGGTCAGTTCAAACTGAATGAATATGTCCACATCATTCTGGTCAGTCCTAACTGAATGAATATGTCCACATCATCCTGGTCAGTTCTAACTGAATGAATGTGTCCACATCATCCTGGTCAGTCCAAACTGAATGAATGTGTCCACATCATCCTGGTCAGTCCTAACTGAATGAATGTGTCCACATCACCCTGGTCAGTCCTAACTGTATGAATATGTCCACATCATCCTGGTCAGTCCTAACTGAATGAATGTGTCCACATTATTCTGGTCAGTCCTAACTGTATGAATATGTCCACATTATTCTGGTCAGTTCTAATTGAATGAATGTGTCCACATCATCCTGGTCAGTCCTAACTGTATGAATATGTCCACATCATCCTTGTCAGTCCTAACTGTATGAATATGTCCACATCATCCTGGTCAGTCCTAACTGTATGAATATGTCCACATCATTCTGATCAGTATTATGTAAATGAATACAAAAAGGCATTTGACACAAATGACATAAAGGATAAAATTGGTTTTGAATGATCTGTCACAAAATGAAATAGGCAAACTTTCAAACATTCGACCAGTGTCAGTGTAGGTCAAAAACTTATTTAGATCTCAGATAGGTGTTTCAAGATAGCATTTTTTTAATATCATGTTGAATACAATAGCATCATATATAAACATACCATCATATATAAACATGCAGAATTCAAATAATTGTCATAAAGTTGGTTAGAAAAAAAACAACAGCGAAACATATTTGGTGGAGCCAAATTAAACTCAATACTAATAACAACTGATGAACTAATAATGGTGTCTTCAATTTTAATTCCATTTTTTTAAAGTTGTCATTTACTAAATATCACTTTATTTGTAGATCACAGATATCGTGTCGTTTTTTTTGGAAAGTGAGATACTTCTGTGTCCCAAAATTAAATGTACTCTAGCTCCGTTGCTGATGACAGTACTAAGCAGGTTGGTCAGAGGTCAGGGGTAAATTACTTAAGTCTTAAGCACACCCGCATGGAGGAACGTGAAGGATTTTGCAAAGATAACATAACGAAGTGGCCTCAATGGTTAGTGATTTCTGATTTATTTTTAGAAATAACAAATATTACACAAAATATAGTTGTTGATGAATTTTAAACATAAGGATATTTCATTTTGGACTGTTGATATTTACATATACACAGTTGTATTTTATTTTCATTGGGCTGAATTTCAAGGATAAAATAAATAATTTCAGTTGTGTTTGTATTTAAATTAATTGACAGTGTTAAATTGTTCAGTAAAACCCTTGTTGAAGTGATTTAAGGGGGGGGGCGCGAGGGGGGGGGGAGATGGTGTCCGATATGCCAGTAGCACTTGACTTGTGGGCCAGGTGTGAAATTAAGTTTAACAAGTTTCGGATCTGGGGCACCGAAAAGTTCAGATTATAGCAGTGCATGATTTCAATGTGCCTAAGATACTAGAAGAACGAGGTTTGTGGGAGCTTGAAACAGAAAGGCAGGTCATTAAAAGACTAACGTTGCTTCTGAGAAACTCTAGGACTGGATCTGAACAGCCCTAAATTAAGACCTGCCACAGTGCCCACTGCTCAGAAAGGCATCAAACAGACCTGCCCCAGTGACCACTGCTCAGAAAGGCATCAAACAGACCTGTCACAGTGCCCACTGCTCAGAAAGGCATCAAACAGACCTGCCACAGTGCCCACTGCTCAGAAAGGCATCAAACAGATCTGTTCAAATTGCAGGAAAAAATCTTAAATGTTTTTAAAAAAAATGTGATAAGATGTACATGCAGCAAGGTTACGTTTTAACACTAGAATAAAACACTTTGGTAAATCACGATGAGACGGGTTTTCTGTCCAAAGCTGAAATTGTTGCATCCTGACATGGTAACAGTCCAACAATGTACAGGCGCGGTCAAATATCCTGACATGGTAACAATCCAACAATGTACTAGGCGCCACTAAATATCCTGACACCGTAACAATCCAACAATGTACAGGCGCCACCAAATTTAGTTTAGAAAAAATATTTACAATATAGAAAAAGTCAACAATATCTGAGTTAAAATTTCTTAATCTAACCGTAATTAGAGTTAGAGAGAAACATTCATCTTTTATACCAGAAAAAGAGTACAGCATCCAATGGAGTACAGCATCCAATAAAATACAGCATCAAACAGAACATCTGACAACACATCCATAAGCACCAGGTCAAAGTTCACGCTTGAATATAACAGTTTGGTGGGGTTAGAGGGGGGTGGGGTAGGGGAAATAAACACGGGAAGCTGCAGTGTTGTCTTGTAATATGGTCCAACAGTACTATAGTCCAAGAACTCATTTAGACACAACATTCAATCTCTTTGACGAGAGCTCCATAAGACGGCCTTTCAGGTTATGTACGACAGCAACATCTCTGTTCAATAATATCATTAACTCTCTTAACTCGACATCCATCTGAAATGGGGCCTAGGTTTGCTGTAGGCACAATATACTGTATCTACGTTAGGGGCTGACGTAGTATCGCATGGCAATATTTTTACTTCAGGGTCAGTTAGTGGGCAGGGTATTAGTCCATAGCTCAGTTGAGCTAATGTGTAGGTCAATATGGGCATCGGAAATTGTGTGTAGCGGGAATTGTGTGTAGCGGTAATTGTGTGTAAACATATCCAGATTTCACAAGTTTGTTTGATGGCTCCATTAGTGTTATCAATTAAATCAAAGGTCTCAACAAGCCGACACTCTTCCTGTAGTTAATTTATTTACAACAGGCCGTTCAGTAAACGGTTGCAGAAGAATTTCATTTTCAATGTTGTATTTAAATTCAGGTGAACCATCGCCAATAAGAACTAGAAAAAAGTGACCTTGACATTATACGATGTTAATTTTTTTTTTTTAATAGTATTCATTTGTGTTCAAAGATTTGATTGGCTGAACTTTTGGCCACAATTAATTTGATTGGATGCTCTGTTTAACACACTTTAAAGTGCTTGGGTGCTCGATTTTTGCCAAATTAATTTGATTGGATGCCTAATTTCCCCAGATTTAAGTTGACTGACCACTCTTGCCCCTCCCACAGCCTTTCCCCCTCTCCTGATGTCATGAAACGAACGGTCGAATCTTCGTGTTCCTCACGTGCTTCCTCCTGGACATCATCTCCACCAGCATGTATCCTGAGATCAGAGCGATGACGGCGAAAATGGCCACACAAAGGGACACGACCACAGCGATGAGTGGCCGAGTGGTGTCCTCTGCTTCATCCTCCCAGTACTCGATAGGTCCGACCTTATTCCCCGGCGATGGTGGGCTAAACAACGACGACGACTTGTCACCGCCAAACGAGAACATTTCATCTAGGACAAACTCACACAGACAGGAGTTGGGGTTATCCCCTGCTTCGTCAGAATTCTCACCTGACTTATCTGCTTTGGATTCCTGACAGTCCTGAAATAGAACATCCATATTTTGCGAACAGCTGGTGCTGGGTAACTTACTTCCGGACGGCAGGAAGTTCAAGTTGGTCAGGTCGTACCGGAACACGATGAACGAGTTGTTGGTCATGATGATGACGTCATCGGCCTCCTTGAACTCAAAGGCGGGCTGCACGTAGGTGCTGATGTCGAAGATGGCGCGCACCATCAGAGGATACGCCGCGGATGTGGGCTGAGAATCGCTGGCGTTCTGAAAAAACGCAAACGTCTCTGGGTCGAAGCTTCTTTGAAAGACTGACGGACACGTGCATATGCAGGCACCACGGGACTTGTTGCCCTGGCACGTGAAGTAGTGGTCGACGCTCGGGAGAAAAAAGCCGTTGTCGGCGCACAGTCTCGGTGGGGAGGACGCGTTGCTGCAGATGGTCAGTTTGACGTAGATGCTGATGTCGTGTGTCGCCGACACCCACGCAGATGTGGTCCTGGTGACGTCACGAATGCTGGAGCCTGACTGGTCGAGTACAAATTCCGTAAACATCAGGTCTGTGGTGATGTCCACTGTGTCGTTGGGGTAACCTAAGTAGGGGGTGGGGGAATTTAATAGAAAATGTAATTTTGATCAGTTGCCTTGATAAGTTACTTTGTGCATTTTTATGTATTTAAGTGTTCACATGTCCCTTGAACTCTGTACAATTATTCACGTTACCCTTGAAATCTTCCAAATTATTCCCTTCAACTCTGGCCAACTATTACCGTGACCCTTCAACTCTGCCCAACTATTACCGTGACACTGCAACTCTGCCCAAATATTACCGTGACACTTCAACTCTGCCCAACTATTACCGTGACACTTCAACTCTGCCCAACTATTACCGTGACAGTTCAACTCTGGCCAACTATTACCGTGACCCTTCAACTTTGCCCAACTATTACCGTGACAGTTCAACTCTGCCCAACTATTACCGTGACAGTTCAACTCTGCCCAACTATTACCGTGACCCTTCAACTCTGCACAACTATTACCGTGACAGTTCAACTCATACCGTGACACTTCAACTCTGCCCAACTCTTACCGTGACAGTTCAACTCTGGCCAACTATTACCGTGACCCTTCAACTTTGCCCAACTATTACCGTGACAGTTCAACTCTGGCCAACTATTACCGTGACAGTTCAACTCTGGCCAACTATTACCGTGACCCTTCAACTTTGCCCAACTATTACCGTGACAGTTCAACTCTGGCCAACTATTACCGTGACCCTTCAACTTTGCCCAACTATTACCGTGACAGTTTAACTATGGCCAACTATTACCGTGACCCTTCAACTTTGCCCAACTATTACCGTGACAGTTCAACTCTGCCCAACTATTACCGTGACAGTTTAACTCTGGCCAACTATTACCGTGACCCTTCAACTTTGCCCAACTATTACCGTGACAGTTCAACTCTGGCCAACTATTACCGTGACCCTTCAACTCTGCCCAACTATTAACGTGACAGTTCAACTCTGGCCAACTATTACCGTGACCCTTCAACTCTGCCCAACTATTACCGTGACACTTCAACTCTGCCCAACTATTGCCGTGACAGTTCAACTCTGACCAACTATTACCGTGACCCTTCAACTTTGCCCAACTATTACCGTGACAGTTCAACTCTGGCCAACTATTACCGTGACAGTTCAACTCTGGCCAACTATTACCGTGACAGTTCAACTCTGCCCAACTATTACCGTGACAGTTCAACTCTGGCCAACTATTACCGTGACCCTTCAACTTTGCCCAACTATTACCGTGACAGTTCAACTCTGGCCAACTATTACCGTGACCCTTCAACTCTGCCCAACTATTACCGTGACAGTTCAACTCTGGCCAACTATTACCGTGACCCTTCAACTTTGCCCAACTATTCACATTATCATTCATAACCTTGTGTTTTTTTTTAATCATATTATTTTAAAGATACAAATTGCAAACTGATGAAAGTGGGTCAAGGTACTTGATCGATTATGACGTAGTTGACTAACATCGCAATGGAAGAAAAAAAAAACGCTTGTTCTTGAACTCCGTACTCACCTTGAATAAACATGGTAAAATCCGTGACATTGGGGAAAGCTATGTAGAACTGAGTACCTCGCACTGAGTACGGCGGCACGAAGTCAAACAAGGAAATATTTTTACAATAGCTGTCGTTCTGTAGTGTGGGATCCCTGCTTTGTACAAGTATTACGCCAAACACATCAGTAGAGCTGAGGCGGTAGCGAAGCTGTGGATTTATAATGTACTTGGAAATCTCAAAGGCATCTAGTAAGACCATGGACGTTGAGGATAAAGATGAGGAGGGGAGCGGTGTGGGCGATGATGTGGGCGAGGTGGTGGCGGCGCCGTCGATTTCACGGAGGGTGGTCACGGCGATGCTGGTGTTGTTGAAGGGCGTGAAGACGAACAGGGTGGCGATGGCCTTGCTGCCGGGGCTGGTGGGTGGCGCGAGGCGAGGGATCTCGTACGTGCGGGCAAGGGCGTCGACGGGGAACACTGTCATGGAGTCACCGAGCTGCTTGTGAACGTAGACTGAGATGTCTTCATTGCTTCGAACAATTATTCCTGAGTGAAAAAAAAAAAGATAAGAAAGATTAGATTCATTCTCTGTTACATACAGTTAATACAACGAGCGAAAAAAATAAACAATCCTAAAAAACAAAGTCTTCGTAAAAAGTATTTATAAAATATATGTACCATCAGGCAATGAGGGTGGGGCTGGAAGTTGACAAAACATGCATACCAATAAAGCACTTCATAAGAATCCAAATTAATGCGCCCCTTCCCAAGGCTCGAAATCGCTCCTTTTTTTCAAAGCCCGCGAATTTTATGAATATTCTAATGACACACCCGCCTTTACATCACAGATTTATTTCAGAAAAGCAAAAGAAAATATTACGCACTTAAAAAGAAAGTTGTTTCAATAATCGTATTCAGCGCAGAAATCGGAAATTTTCCTACATGCTCACCTTGGAAAACAGGGAAAATGGGGTTATCGGAGTGTGGCTGAACATTTGATAAAATCCATTGTCATCGGAAACGAGTCTAGGTCCTAAGTTTCAGCTCGATAGCTCGACGGGAAGTGGGTCAAATAGCCGTCCTTAGATTTTGCCAGCAACTAACCCACGACACAAAAGTTAAACTTATACAAAGGATTTTTACAAAAAAATATAAATCCTTTTGAACTATGTCAACACTCACAATAGGTAGATATCTCACACAATAGGTAGATATCTCACACAATAGGTAGATATCTCACACAATAGGTAGATATCTCACACAATTGGTAGATATCTCACACAATTGGTAGATATCTCACACAATAGGTAGATATCTCACACAATAGGTAGATATCTCACACAATAGGTAGATATCTCACACAATAGGTAGATATCTCAAACAATAGGTAGATATCTCACACAATACGTAGATACCCCACACAATAGTTAGATATCTCACACAATAGGTAGATATCCCACATAATAGGTAGATATCTCACACAATAGGTAGATATCTCACACAATAGGTAGATATCTCACACAATAGGTAGATATCCCACACAATGGGTATATATCTCACACAATAGGTAGATATCTCACACAATAGGTAGATATCCCCCACAATAGGTAGATATCTCACACAATAGGTAGATATCTCACACAATAGGTGGATATCTCACACAATGGGTATATATCCCACACAATAGGTAAATATCCCACACAATGGGTAGATATCCCACACAATGGATAGATATCCCACACAATAGGTAGATATCCCACACAATGGATAGATATCCCACACGATAGGCAGATATCCCAGACAATAGGCAGATATCCCACACAATAAGCAGATATCCCACACAATGGGTAGATATCCCACATAATGGGCAGATATCTCAAGAGGTTTCTAGCTGATGTGTTGTTAGTAACGACGCTGAGAAAGATTGATGACTGGTTCCACGTGCAGCCCTCAAGCAGTAATCTATTGCTGGGTGCAGCCGTCAAGCAGTAATCTATTGCTGTGTGCAGCCGTCAAGCAGTAATCTAATTGCTTGAAGCCGGGCGTTTGAGACAGTCGTTAATAATACCAGCTAGTCACACACTCGTTAATTCGAGGGAATCTACAGTTCGCCATTGTGAAGTTCAAAGCCCATTGTTTGCTAACTTTAATTTTGATGAGCAGTTGGAAGAGTCAGCGTTTCTCTTGAGTTAACAACGCCCTTGTTTTGTGTGGTTGTGATAGCAAGAACAGTGCAGAGTGGCCGGCGAAATACAGACTGACGTGACCTCATTTGAAACACCGAACACCAGGCTGTTGTTCGAAGGTATTAACAACGGATTTAGAAAAAAGCCGTGACTACAGTCATTATAATCACAGTCCACGGTCGTACGTCATTTTGACGCATTCTTTTTGAACACGCAACGAATGCGTTTCTTACAACATATTCTTGTAGGCATATTCTTGTAGGCATATTCTTGTAGGCATATTCTTGTAGGCATATTCTTGTAGGCATATTCTTGTAGGCATATTCTTGTAGGCATATTATTGTAGGCATATTCTTGTAGGCATATTCTTGTAGGCATATTCTTGTAGGCATATTATTGTAGGCATATTCTTGTAGGCATATTCTTGTAGGCATATCCTTGTAGGCATATTATAGGCATATTATTGTAGGCATATTCTTGTAGGCATATTCTTGTAGGCATATTCTTGACAAATGTATGTTTAACTTGTACAGAAGAAGAGAACGAAAAAAAGAAGATAAACATAAAAACAACGAATATTTGTGTAAGTAAATGTTGATCGAAATACATAATGTTGACTCAAGAGTGTCTTCCCTTCAACACAAATAAAAAGGTTGATAATAAGCTTTTGGCATTACACTTCCATTGTTACAGTTTTATAATAAATCGATTGATCCTAACAGAGATTAGAGATGATTGATCCTATGCTTATATAGATGATTGATTCTAACAGAGCTGTCAATTTGTGGGTAAAGAATGTATTTCTACAGTGATCAACTGAATGAGTGATGTCATATTGTGTGTAATTAATCATCTGTTTATGTAGAAATTGACTGAACCAATTATTCTCTTGATTAAGACATGAATTCCCTGTCTGTCCATTGAATATTTGGTCTTTAACTCTACACACTGACCCCACGGGCAATCCGACCCCTCCCCCGGGCTACACGATCCTATACAATTCGCCCTAGTTTGTTGTGCTGACGACTGTGAGTGGACGACCAAATCATTAGGGCACCGCCCGGGGGTCAGATATGCCTTTATGTGGCGGGGCAATTTGCTGGGGACCCCAGAGTTGTCACTGGGGGAGATGGGTATCGTTAGGGCGGTGTTGTGGCAACATTCCCATCAATCGATACTCGGGTCGATACCGCGTCATCCAATACTCAGTAGTGCCCGCCCCTTGGTGTCCATTCCGTGACACCACTTTGGTCTTAGCTCTACGTGTGTGTGCATACATTTCTTTCAAAAGTAACAAAACCAAACTAGTTTTACAACCATTATTTGAGGTGCGGTGTTGACAAGGTGCAACGTAGCACACAAAAAAAACAACAAAAAAACAACAACAAATAGCCGAATATTACTCCCTCTATGAAGGTCAGCAGTACCTTTTTAGAAAAGGCTAAATCGATGGTTCTAAACCTGTGCAGGTCCCTCGTCAAGTTCATTAATCCCCTTTTGTGATTACATAGATTTCAACAAAGTCATTGAACCGAAACACCATGGACAAAAAGCAAAAACAAAATGGAAGAGAGCGGCCATTATTCTATGCTGAGGTCAGCCGTGTTTATTTATTTATCTAACCAATCAGGGGGGAACAAGCAGCGACTGATTATGTTTCCCTGCTGCTTTTTGTTTACAAAATGTCCCTGGCTAATTTATGCGTACTTTTCTGTGCTAACCATGACAGGTGCTGAGGCCCTAAGCTATACAAAGTCCATAAACCCTAAGTTATACAATAATTGCCTGAGGCTCCCTGGCGTTTGAAATTACAGGAGCTATCTAAGTTAGATTTTTTAAAATATAGCCGGCAAACAGTGGTCGGACAAATGCGGCTCGTTGCCGCTCTTTGAGCTTTATCGTGATGCTATTGGATACCCAAATATTTTGCAGAAATCTCAATCCATTTCCTTGACTTTCTACTGTCATTGTGATGTATTCATCTGAATTTTTAAAAAATTGAAAAATTATATTGATTATTGTGTAATGAAACCGCGTTTAAAATGTTAAATTCCTTTAAATTAACTTGACTTTTGTTCGTGGGTGACTGGGTGGCCAAATCTTCGGGCTTCCTTTGACCCACTCCTGTCAAATCTATCAATCTGAAACTTGGCACATAAGACTTGTTGCCGATGACAACACATTCTATCAAATGTTCAGCCCCAACCCCCATAAATAAGTTTTCCCCTGTGTTTCAAGTGGCAGATGAAGGAAGTATGATGACAACGAATTCACGAGACAAAAAATTCCCGATAACCGCGCTAAATGAGATGCTTTTCAAATAAATATCGCAAGTCGCAAGTGCGTTTGGTGCGTAATATTTTCTTTTGTTTTTTTCTGACATGTTTGGTGGAATAAATATGCGTTGAAAAAGTGGCTGGGCCATGAGAATATGAATAGAGTTCAGGGGCGTGAAAGAAATATGCAGGTGCGAGACTTGAACTTTTTTTCTTTTTTTTTTTGGGTTGGGGGGGGGGGTAGCCATAATTGGAATTTTTATAAAGTAAATGACTTTTTTTTTTTTATTTTTTTGCAATCCCCCCCCCCCCCCATTGTTAAATATTAAATTTTATGAAGGATTTATATTTATGAAAAAACTTTGGTTTCAGGGGTTGTTTAATTTCTTTGGTAGATTTGTTCAGTTACACTGTGTGCATATTCAGGGTCGGCGCTAGACATCATTAGGTTGGGTCAAAGTAGGCAACTGTCGCAATCTGGAAACCATGGGAAGAGTTCAGAGAAAGATGTTGTTTTTTATTTTAACAAATTTTGCCGCGATTACGGCGCCGAGCGCATCGTAACCGCCGTGAGCCGGCCCAATATGCAAGCAGTGAGCCGGCCCAATATGCAAGCAGTGAGCCGGCCCAATATGCAAGCAGTGAGCCGGCCCAATATGCAAGCCGTGAGCCGGCCCAATATGCAAGCCGTGAGCCGGCCCAATATGCAAGCCGTGAGCCGGCCCAATATGCAAGCCGTGAGCCGGCCCAATATGCAAGCCGTGAGACGGCCCAATATGCAGCCCATTGAATGAGTTGTACGGTTAGATTGCTCTTCAATTTTGTAAACTAGGAAACAAGAAAATCTACGGCAATTTGCAATGAAAAGGAGAATGACCTGTGCCCCAAGCTGTGGCTTATTTAGTTGATAGGTCAATCTGGCACTGGTGTCACTGACAGATTGGGTCGTACCTTTATGTGCTGACTATCACGGAATAATTTAGTCAGACTTTTCTTTGCTAACTATCACTGACTAATTTATTCATACTTTTCTGTGCTAATTGTCCCTTATTGATTTAGTCAGACTTTTCTTTGCTAACTATCACTGACTAATTTAGTCATACTTTTCTGTGCTAATTGTCCCTTATTGATTTAGTCAGACTTTTCTTTGCTAACTATCACTGACTAATTTATTCATACTTTTCTGTGCTAATTGTCCCTTATTGATTTAGTCAGACTTTTCTTTGCTAACTATCACTGACTAATTTAGTCATACTTTTCTGTGCTAATTGTCCCTTATTGATTTAGTCAGACTTTTCTTTGCTAACTATCACTGACTAATTTATTCATACTTTTCTGTGCTAATTGTCCCTTATTGATTTAGTCACACTTTTCTTTGCTAACTATCACTGACTAATTTAGTCATACTTTTCTGTGCTAACCATCACTGACTAATTTGAAAGTGCAGTCATGTGCCGAGTGTCACTGACCAATTTAGACGTACTTTTCTGAGCCAACAAGTCATTCAATCAGCTTTATTCCGAAAAGCACAATCCGGACACACCCACCCAGAAGTTGGCATTTACTTTTTAAGTATCTTTCAAGGTTACGCACGCAAGCACTTTAGAGTTGTATTTTTATATATTATTATTATCTCTCTGGCCTTGAACTTTACCATTGACCTCTGGTCTTTCCCTGTTTCCTTTTTGAAAAATATGCTTCTAATATAGGATGAATCATCTATTAAGTAATCAGTGATTCTTTCAGACATTTTTTCCCGGGGGTTTGGGGGGGGGGGGGAGGCAGTGAAAAAAATTAAAACATACTTTTGTTTTTACTTTGCAAAAATTAAAGTGGGTGTATATTTTTTATGACATTATTTTTTATTTATTTTTTTTTAAAAAAGACACACAAGTCTGTTACAGATTTGAAACACGGTTGCCAGATTCTTCTTTAGATCAAAGAATTCTTTGTTTTACGATTTTCTGATAATGTATAATTTTTTTAAAAAAGCAAAAATGTGTTTAAATTTTTGATGAAGTTATAAATGTATATCGAATTCCTGTAATAAAAATATATTTATATCATTTATAGAGTTTTTTGTTGTAAATTTAAGATTAGGTTTTTTAACAAGTTTTGGAGAGAAAAAAAGTTGTAATTCGAGGGCACGAAAAGGGGTAAATCTAAAGTATTTCTGTAGGGTAGTAATCGTGCCTCAATTAACTTCTTTAGTAAAAAAAAAAGTGATATAATTAGTGATAATTTAGATTGGGTAATTTAAGGTCATGTTTAGAGGAGGGAAAAGTAGTTTAGGAGCGCGAAAGGGAGTAGGGTAGGCCTATAATAATAAGCAGATCAATACTTCTCAAAACCCAGTGATGTTAGAAACATAAATATCATGACATTTTTAAAGTTATGAATTGTGATCATCATCATGTCCCTTAGCCTTTGGACCGTTGGGGCACCACAGATGACATGTGAACTATCCTCCTCCATTCGTCTCTGTCTTCTGCACTTTGAAAAGCACAGCCTTGCCCAGTGTTAGTCCTGTCCACTCTTTGATGTTATCCTCCCATCTATTTCTTTGTGTTCCTCTTCTTCTCCCTCCTCTTGTGGTGCCCTGCAATATTTCTTTGGCAAGCCCTTGCTTCCTTGTTACGTGGCCGTACCATTGTAGTTTGCATTTTTCCACAGTCACCAGTAGGTCATCGTACTCCCCCATTTGCCTGGCAAACACTGTCTTTAACTGCATCATTGGACATATGGTCCCTATAGCAGATGCCAAAAATGCTTCTGAATTGTGATCAGTCTTTGCAATAGCAGTTAGAAATTATCGCAAAGGATCTCCCATTATTATCCCGATAACATCGGGTCATTTATTCTAGTTACTAATAATGTTGTAATTAGTTATTATGCTGGTTCTCAACAAAACCAAGAACTTACTCATAGCTCTGTCATGCAAGTTAGTAAAACAATGAACAGTATTAAAAGTGACGCTATAACTATATGTGACTCTCCTCAAGTGATATTGTAACTACATTTGACTCTACTCAAGTGATGTTGTAACTACATGTGACTCTCCTCAAGTGATATTGTAACTACATGTGACTCTCCTCAAGTGATGTTGTAACTACATGTGACTCTCCTCAAGTGATATTGTAACTACATGTGACTCTCCTCAAGTGATATTGTAACTACATGTGACTCTCCTCAAGTGATATTGTAACTACATGTGACTCTCCTCAAGTGATATTGTAACTACATGTGACTCTCCTCAAGTGATATTGTAACTACATGTGACTCTCCTCAAGTGATATTGTAACTACATGTGACTCTCCTCAAGTGATATTGTAACTACATGTGACTCTCCTCAAGTGATATTGTAACTACATGTGACTCTCCTCAAGTGATATTGTAACTACATGTGACTCTCCTCAAGTGATATTGTAACTACATGTGACTCTCCTCAAGTGATATTGTAACTACATGTGACTCTCCTCAAGTGATATTGTAACTACATGTGACTCTCCTCAAGTGATATTGTAACTACATGTGACTCTCCTCAAGTGATATTGTAACTACATGTGACTCTCCTCAAGTGATATTGTAACTACATGTGACTCTCCTCAAGTGATATTGTAACTACATGTGACTCTCCTCAAGTGATATTGTAACTACATGTGACTCTCCTCAAGTGATATTGTAACTACATGTGACTCTCCTCAAGTGATATTGTAACTACATGTGACTCTCCTCAAGTGATATTGTAACTACATGTGACTCTCCTCAAGTGATATTGTAACTACATGTGACTCTCCTCAAGTGATATTGTAACTACATGTGACTCTCCTCAAGTGATATTGTAACTACATGTGACTCTCCTCAAGTGATATTGTAACTACATGTGACTCTCCTCAAGTGATATTGTAACTACATGTGACTCTCCTCAAGTGATATTGTAACTACATGTGACTCTCCTCAAGTGATATTGTAACTACATGTGACTCTCCTCAAGTGATATTGTAACTACATGTGACTCTCCTCAAGTGATATTGTAACTACATGTGACTCTCCTCAAGTGATATTGTAACTACATGTGACTCTCCTCAAGTGATGTTGTAACTACATGTGACTCTCCTCAAGTGATGTTGTATCTACATGTGCTACATGTGACTCTCCTCAAGTTATATTGTAACTACATGTGACTCTCCTCAAGTGATGTTGTAACTACATGTGACTCTCCTCAAGTGATATTGTAACTACATGTGACTCTCCTCAAGTGATGTTGTAACTACATGTGACTCTCCTCAAGTGATGTTGTAACTACATGTGACTCTCCTCAAGTGATGTTGTAACTATATGTGACTCTCCTCAAGTGATATTGTAACTACATGTGACTCTCGTCAAGTGATATTGTAACTACATGTGACTCTCCTCAAGTGATGTTGTAACTACATGTGACCCTACTCAAGTGATGTTGTAACTACATGTGACTCTCCTCAAGTGATGTTGTAACTACATGTGACACTCCTCAAGTGATATTGTAACTACATGTGACCCTACTCAAGTGATGTTGTATCTACATGTGCTACATGTGACTCTCCTCAAGTGATATTGTAACTACATGTGACCCTACTCAAGTGATATTGTATCTACTACATGTGACTCTCCTCAAGTGATATTGTAACTACATGTGACTCTCCTCAAGTGATGTTGTAACTACATGTGACTCTACTCAAGTGATATTGTATCTACATGTGACTCTCCTCAAGTGATATTGTAACTACATGTGACCCTACTCAAGTGATGTTGTAACTACATGTGACTCTCCTCAAGTGATATTGTAACTACATGTGACTCTCCTCAAGTGATGTTGTAACTACATGTGACTCTACTCAAGTGATATTGTATCTACATGTGACTCTCCTCAAGTGATATTGTATCTACATGTGACTCTCCTCAAGTGATGTTGTAACTACATGTGACCTTACTCAAGTGATGTTGTAACTACATGTGACTCTCCTCAAGTGATATTGTAACTACATGTGACTCTACTCAAGTGATGTTGTAACTACATGTGTCCCTACTCAAGTGATATTGTAACTACATGTGACTCTCCTCAAGTGATGTTGTAACTACATGTGACTCTCCTCAAGTGATATTGTAACTACATGTGACCCTACTCAAGTGATATTGTAACTACATGTGACTCTCCTCAAGTGATGTTGTATCTACATGTGACTCTCCTCAAGTGATATTGTATCTACATGTGCTACATGTGACTCTCCTCAAGTGATGTTGTAACTACATGTGACTCTCCTCAAGTGATGTTGTAACTATATGTGACCCTACTCAAGTGATATTGTAACTACATGTGACTCTCCTCAAGTGATGTTGTAACTACATGTGACTCTACTCAAGTGATATTGTAACTACATGTGACTCTCCTCAAGTGATGTTGTAACTACATGTGACCCTACTCAAGTGATATTGTAACTATATGTGACTCTCCTCAAGTGATGTTGTAACTACATGTGACCCTACTCAAGTGATGTTGTATCTACATGTGACACTCCTCAAGTGATATTGTATCTACATGTGACTCTCCTCAAGTGATGTTGTATCTACATGTGACTCTCCTCAAGTGATATTGTATCTACATGTGACTCTCCTCAAGTGATATTGTATCTACATGTGACTCTCCTCAAGTGATATTGTAACTACATGTGACTCTCCTCAAGTGATATTGTAACTACATGTGACTCTCCTCAAGTGATATTGTAACTACATGTGACTCTCGAGTTCACTATAACATTGATGTACACTGAGACCTCAAGTGATGTTGTAACTACATGTGACCCTACTCAAGTGATGTTGTAACTACATGTGACTCTCCTCAAGTGATGTTGTAACTACATGTGACTCTCCTCAAGTGATATTGTAACTACATGTGACCCTACTCAAGTGATGTTGTATCTACATGTGCTACATGTGACTCTCCTCAAGTGATATTGTAACTACATGTGACCCTACTCAAGTGATATTGTATCTACATGTGCTACATGTGACTCTCCTCAAGTGATATTGTAACTACATGTGACCCTACTCAAGTGATATTGTATCTACATGTGACTCTCCTCAAGTGATGTTGTAACTACATGTGACTCTCCTCAAGTGATGTTGTAACTACATGTGACTCTCCTCAAGTGATGTTGTAACTACATGTGACTCTCCTCAAGTGATATTGTATCTACATGTGACTCTCCTCAAGTGATATTGTAACTACATGTGACTCTCCTCAAGTGATATTGTAACTACATGTGACTCTCCTCAAGTGATGTTGTAACTACATGTGACTCTCCTCAAGTGATATTGTAACTACATGTGACTCTCCTCAAGTGATATTGTAACTACATGTGACTCTCCTCAAGTGATATTGTAACTACATGTGACTCTCCTCAAGTGATATTGTAACTACATGTGACTCTCCTCAAGTGATATTGTAACTACATGTGACTCTCCTCAAGTGATATTGTAACTACATGTGACTCTCCTCAAGTGATATTGTAACTACATGTGACTCTCCTCAAGTGATATTGTAACTACATGTGACTCTCCTCAAGTGATATTGTAACTACATGTGACTCTCCTCAAGTGATATTGTAACTACATGTGACTCTCCTCAAGTGATATTGTAACTACATGTGACTCTCCTCAAGTGATATTGTAACTACATGTGACTCTCCTCAAGTGATATTGTAACTACATGTGACTCTCCTCAAGTGATATTGTAACTACATGTGACTCTCCTCAAGTGATATTGTAACTACATGTGACTCTCCTCAAGTGATATTGTAACTACATGTGACTCTCCTCAAGTGATATTGTAACTACATGTGACTCTCCTCAAGTGATATTGTAACTACATGTGACTCTCCTCAAGTGATATTGTAACTACATGTGACTCTCCTCAAGTGATATTGTAACTACATGTGACTCTCCTCAAGTGATATTGTAACTACATGTGACTCTCCTCAAGTGATATTGTAACTACATGTGACTCTCCTCAAGTGATATTGTAACTACATGTGACTCTCCTCAAGTGATATTGTAACTACATGTGACTCTCCTCAAGTGATATTGTAACTACATGTGACTCTCCTCAAGTGATATTGTAACTACATGTGACTCTCCTCAAGTGATATTGTAACTACATGTGACTCTCCTCAAGTGATATTGTAACTACATGTGACTCTCCTCAAGTGATATTGTAACTACATGTGACTCTCCTCAAGTGATATTGTAACTACATGTGACTCTACTCAAGTGATATTGTAACTACATGTGACTCTCCTCAAGTGATGTTGTAACTACATGTGACCCTACTCAAGTGATATTGTAACTACATGTGACTCTCCTCAAGTGATGTTGTAACTACATGTGACTCTCCTCAAGTGATATTGTAACTACATGTGACTCTCCTCAAGTGATATTGTAACTACATGTGACCCTACTCAAGTGATGTTGTAACTACATGTGACTCTCCTCAAGTGATATTGTAACTACATGTGACTCTCCTCAAGTGATGTTGTAACTACATGTGACCCTACTCATGTGATATTGTAACTACATGTGACTCTCCTCAAGTGATATTGTAACTACATGTGACTCTCCTCAAGTGATGTTGTAACTACATGTGACCCTACTCAAGTGATGTTGTAACTACATGTGACTCTCCTCAAGTGATGTTGTAACTACATGTGACCCTACTCAAGTGATAGTGTAACTACATGTGACTCTCCTCAAGTGATGTTGTAACTACATGTGACTCTCCTCAAATGATGTTGTATCTACATGTGCTACATGTGACTCTCCTCAAGTGATGTTGTAACTACATGTGACTCTCCTCAAGTGATATTGTAACTACATGTGACTCTCCTCAAGTGATATTGTAACTACATGTGACTCTCCTCAAGTGATATTGTAACTACATGTGACTCTCCTCAAGTGATATTGTAACTACATGTGACTCTCCTCAAGTGATATTGTAACTACATGTGACTCTCCTCAAGTGATATTGTAACTACATGTGACTCTCCTCAAGTGATATTGTAACTACATGTGACTCTCCTCAAGTGATATTGTAACTACATGTGACTCTCCTCAAGTGATATTGTAACTACATGTGACTCTCCTCAAGTGATATTGTAACTACATGTGACTCTCCTCAAGTGATATTGTAACTACATGTGACTCTCCTCAAGTGATATTGTAACTACATGTGACTCTCCTCAAGTGATATTGTAACTACATGTGACTCTCCTCAAGTGATATTGTAACTACATGTGACTCTCCTCAAGTGATATTGTAACTACATGTGACTCTCCTCAAGTGATATTGTAACTACATGTGACTCTCCTCAAGTGATATTGTAACTACATGTGACTCTCCTCAAGTGATATTGTAACTACATGTGACTCTCCTCAAGTGATATTGTAACTACATGTGACTCTCCTCAAGTGATATTGTAACTACATGTGACTCTCCTCAAGTGATATTGTAACTACATGTGACTCTCCTCAAGTGATATTGTAACTACATGTGACTCTCCTCAAGTGATATTGTAACTACATGTGACTCTCCTCAAGTGATATTGTAACTACATGTGACTCTCCTCAAGTGATATTGTAACTACATGTGACTCTCCTCAAGTGATATTGTAACTACATGTGACTCTCCTCAAGTGATATTGTAACTACATGTGACTCTCCTCAAGTGATATTGTAACTACATGTGACTCTCCTCAAGTGATATTGTAACTACATGTGACTCTCCTCAAGTGATATTGTAACTACATGTGACTCTCCTCAAGTGATATTGTAACTACATGTGACTCTCCTCAAGTGATATTGTAACTACATGTGACTCTCCTCAAGTGATGTTGTAACTACATGTGACTCTCCTCAAGTGATATTGTAACTACATGTGACTCTCCTCAAGTGATGTTGTAACTACATTTGACTCTACTCAAGTGATATTGTAACTACATGTGACTCTCCTCAAGTAATGTTGTAACTACATGTGACTCTCCTCAAGTGATATTGTAACTACATGTGACTCTCCTCTAGTGATATTGTAACTACATGTGACTCTCCTCAAGTGATGTTGTAACTACATGTGACTCTCCTCAAGTGATATTGTAACTACATGTGACTCTACTCAAGTGATGTTGTAACTACATGTGACTCTCCTCAAGTGATGTTGTAACTACATGTGACCCTACTCAAGTGATATTGTAACTACATGTGACTCTCCTCAAGTGATATTGTAACGACATGTGACTCTACTCAAATGATAGTGTATCTACATGTGACTCTACTCAAGTGATATTGTAACTACATGTGACTCTACTCAAGTGATATTGTAACTACATGTGACTCTCCTCAAGTGATGTTGTAACTACATGTGACTCTCCTCAAGTGATATTGTAACTACATGTGACTCTCCTCAAGTGATATTGTAACTACATGTGACTCTCCTCAAGTGATATTGTAACTACATGTGACTCTCCTCAAGTGATATTGTAACTACATGTGACTCTCCTCAAGTGATATTGTAACTACATGTGACTCTCCTCAAGTGATATTGTAACTACATGTGACTCTCCTCAAGTGATATTGTAACTACATGTGACTCTCCTCAAGTGATATTGTAACTACATGTGACTCTCCTCAAGTGATATTGTAACTACATGTGACTCTCCTCAAGTGATATTGTAACTACATGTGACTCTCCTCAAGTGATATTGTAACTACATGTGACTCTCCTCAAGTGATATTGTAACTACATGTGACTCTCCTCAAGTGATATTGTAACTACATGTGACTCTCCTCAAGTGATATTGTAACTACATGTGACTCTCCTCAAGTGATATTGTAACTACATGTGACTCTCCTCAAGTGATATTGTAACTACATGTGACTCTCCTCAAGTGATATTGTAACTACATGTGACTCTCCTCAAGTGATATTGTAACTACATGTGACTCTCCTCAAGTGATATTGTAACTACATGTGACTCTCCTCAAGTGATATTGTAACTACATGTGACTCTCCTCAAGTGATATTGTAACTACATGTGACTCTCCTCAAGTGATATTGTAACTACATGTGACTCTCCTCAAGTGATATTGTAACTACATGTGACTCTCCTCAAGTGATATTGTAACTACATGTGACTCTCCTCAAGTGATATTGTAACTACATGTGACTCTCCTCAAGTGATATTGTAACTACATGTGACTCTCCTCAAGTGATATTGTAACTACATGTGACTCTCCTCAAGTGATATTGTAACTACATGTGACTCTCCTCAAGTGATATTGTAACTACATGTGACTCTCCTCAAGTGATATTGTAACTACATGTGACTCTCCTCAAGTGATATTGTAACTACATGTGACTCTCCTCAAGTGATATTGTAACTACATGTGACTCTCCTCAAGTGATATTGTAACTACATGTGACTCTCCTCAAGTGATATTGTAACTACATGTGACTCTCCTCAAGTGATATTGTAACTACATGTGACTCTCCTCAAGTGATATTGTAACTACATGTGACTCTCCTCAAGTGATATTGTAACTACATGTGAAACTACTCAAGTGATATTGTAACTACATGTGACTCTCCTCAAGTGATGTTGTAACTACATGTGACTCTCCTCAAGTGATATTGTAACTATATGTGACTCTACTCAAGTGATATTGTAACTACATGTGACCCTACTCAAGTGATATTGTAACTACATGTGACTCTCCTCAAGTGATGTTGTAACTACATGTGACCCTACTCAAGTGATATTGTAACTACATGTGACCCTCCTCAAGTGATGTTGTAACTACATGTGACCCTACTCAAGTGATATTGTAACTACATGTGACCCTACTCAAGTGATGTTGTAACTACATGTGACTCTCCTCAAGTGATATTGTAACTACATGTGACCCTACTCAAGTGATATTGTAACTACATGTGACTCTCCTCAAGTGATGTTTTAACTACATGTGACCCTACTCAAGTGATGTTGTAACTACATGTGACCCTACTCAAGTGATATTGTAACTACATGTGACTCTCCTCAAGTGATGTTGTAACTACATGTGAAACTACTCAAGTGATATTGTAACTACATGTGAAACTACTCAAGTGATGTTGTAACTACATATGACTCTCCTCAAGTGATGTTTTAACTACATGTGACCCTACTCAAGTGATGTTTTAACTACATGTGACCCTACTCAAGTGATATTGTAACTATATGTGACTCTACTCAAGCTATATTGTAACTACATGTGACTGAGGAGTTCACTATAACATTGATGTACACTGAGACCTCAAGTGATATTGTAACTACATGTGACCCTACTCAAGTGATGTTGTAACTACATGTGACTCTCCTCAAGTGATATTGTAACTACATGTGACCCTACTCAAGTGATATTGTAACTACATGTGACTCTCCTCAAGTGATGTTGTAACTACATGTGACCCTACTCAAGTGATATTGTAACTACATGTGACTCTCCTCAAGTGATGTTGTAACTACATGTGAAACTACTCAAGTGATATTGTAACTACATGTGAAACTACTCAAGTGATATTGTAACTACATATGACTCTCCTCAAGTGATGTTTTAACTACATGTGACCCTACTCAAGTGATATTGTAACTATATGTGACTCTACTCAAGCTATATTGTAACTACATGTGACTCTCCTCAAGTGATATTGTAACTACATGTGACTCTCCTCAAGTGATATTGTATCTACATGTGACTCTCCTCAAGTGATATTGTATCTACATGTGACTCTCCTCAAGTGATATTGTAACTACATGTGACTCTCCTCAAGTGATATTGTAACTACATGTGACTCTCCTCAAGTGATATTGTAACTACATGTGACTCTCCTCAAGTGATATTGTAACTACATGTGACTCTCCTCAAGTGATATTGTAACTACATGTGACTCTCCTCAAGTGATATTGTAACTACATGTGACTCTCCTCAAGTGATATTGTAACTACATGTGACTCTCCTCAAGTGATATTGTAACTACATGTGACTCTCCTCAAGTGATATTGTAACTACATGTGACTCTCCTCAAGTGATATTGTAACTACATGTGACTCTCCTCAAGTGATATTGTAACTACATGTGACTCTCCTCAAGTGATATTGTAACTACATGTGACTCTCCTCAAGTGATATTGTAACTACATGTGACTCTCCTCAAGTGATATTGTAACTACATGTGACTCTCCTCAAGTGATATTGTAACTACATGTGACTCTCCTCAAGTGATATTGTAACTACATGTGACTCTCCTCAAGTGATATTGTAACTACATGTGACTCTCCTCAAGTGATATTGTAACTACATGTGACTCTCCTCAAGTGATATTGTAACTACATGTGACTCTCCTCAAGTGATATTGTAACTACATGTGACTCTCCTCAAGTGATATTGTAACTACATGTGACTCTCCTCAAGTGATATTGTAACTACATGTGACTCTCCTCAAGTGATATTGTAACTACATGTGACTCTCCTCAAGTGATATTGTAACTACATGTGACTCTCCTCAAGTGATATTGTAACTACATGTGACTCTCCTCAAGTGATATTGTAACTACATGTGACTCTCCTCAAGTGATATTGTAACTACATGTGACTCTCCTCAAGTGATATTGTAACTACATGTGACTCTCCTCAAGTGATATTGTAACTACATGTGACTCTCCTCAAGTGATATTGTAACTACATGTGACTCTCCTCAAGTGATATTGTAACTACATGTGACTCTCCTCAAGTGATATTGTAACTACATGTGACTCTCCTCAAGTGATATTGTAACTACATGTGACTCTCCTCAAGTGATATTGTAACTACATGTGACTCTCCTCAAGTGATATTGTAACTACATGTGACTCTCCTCAAGTGATATTGTAACTACATGTGACTCTCCTCAAGTGATATTGTAACTACATGTGACCCTACTCAAGTGATGTTGTAACTACATGTGACTCTACTCAAGTGATGTTGTAACTACATGTGACCCTCCTCAAGTGATATTGTAACTACATGTGACTCTCCTCAAGTGATATTGTAACTACATGTGACTCTACTCAAGTGATATTGTAACTACATATGACTCTCCTCAAGTGATATTGTAACTACATGTGACTCTCCTCAAGTGATATTGTAACTACATGTGACCCTACTCAAGTGATGTTGTAACTACATGTGACTCTACTCAAGTGATATTGTAACTACATGTGACTCTCCTCAAGTGATGTTGTAACTACATGTGAAACTACTCAAGTGATATTGTAACTACATGTGACCCTACTCAAGTGATATTGTAACTACATGTGAAACTACTCAAGTGATATTGTAACTACATGTGACTCTCCTCAAGTGATGTTGTAACTACATGTGACTCTCCTCAAGTGATATTGTAACTATATGTGACTCTACTCAAGTGATATTGTAACTACATGTGAAACTACTCAAGTGATATTGTAACTACATGTGACCCTACTCAAGTGATATTGTAACTACATGTGAAACTACTCAAGTGATATTGTAACTACATGTGACTCTACTCAAGTGATATTGTAACTACATGTGAAACTACTCAAGTGATATTGTAACTACATGTGACTCTCCTCAAGTGATGTTGTAACTACATGTGACTCTCCTCAAGTGATATTGTAACTATATGTGACTCTCCTCAAGTGATATTGTAACTACATGTGACTCTCCTCAAGTGATATTGTAACTACATGTGACCCTACTCAAGTGATGTTGTAACTACATGTGACTCTACTCAAGTGATATTGTAACTACATGTGACTCTCCTCAAGTGATGTTGTAACTACATGTGAAACTACTCAAGTGATATTGTAACTACATGTGACCCTACTCAAGTGATATTGTAACTACATGTGAAACTACTCAAGTGATATTGTAACTACATGTGACTCTCCTCAAGTGATGTTGTAACTACATGTGACTCTCCTCAAGTGATATTGTAACTATATGTGAATCTACTCAAGTGATATTGTAACTACATGTGAAACTACTCAAGTGATATTGTAACTACATGTGACCCTACTCAAGTGATATTGTAACTACATGTGAAACTACTCAAGTGATATTGTAACTACATGTGACTCTACTCAAGTGATATTGTAACTACATGTGAAACTACTCAAGTGATATTGTAACTACATGTGACTCTCCTCAAGTGATGTTGTAACTACATGTGACTCTCCTCAAGTGATATTGTAACTACATGTGACTCTCCTCAAGTGATGTTGTAACTACATGTGACCCTACTCAAGTGATATTGTAACTACATGTGACTCTCCTCAAGTGATGTTGTAACTACATGTGACCCTACTCAAGTGATATTGTAACTACATGTGACTCTCCTCAAGTGATGTTGTAACTATATGTCACTCTACTCAAGTGATATTGTAACTACATGTGACTCTCCTCAAGTGATGTTGTAACTACATGTGACCCTACTCAAGTGATATTGTAACTACATGTGACTCTACTCAAGATATATTGTAACTACATGTGACTCTCCTCAAGTGATATTGTAGCTACATATGACTCTACTCAGTGATGATGTAGCTACATGTGTCTCTACTCAAGTGATATTGTAGCTACATATGACTCTACTCAGTGATGATGTAGCTTCATATGACTCTACTGAAGTGACATTGTTGCATTTAAGCCTGGACAACAAAATGTCTTTCTAATTACATTTTATCCACATGTGTGGAGTGCCTGAATCTGCTATAACAGTAATTATTACTGTAAGTATTGAAATTTGCAACAGGATTGAACCATCAAAAATGTTCTTTGTTCTATATTTACACACTGATGAATAACCTCCCCACCCTCTCCCTTACGAGCTAATGATCCAATCACAATAACGTCATGTAAAAGCCAGGTCAACAGCTTACCCTCCCCCCCCCCCAATTCATTCCCCACCCCCCTTTCCGGCCGTGACGCCTTTGTTACCTGTTATCTACAGTAATACTCTCGTTTCTCAATAATGGCTTTGCTTGCGTTAACATTAATCAACAAAACACCTGGCTAAAGCACAGTCAGAGCTAGGGGTTCTCAAGCGTATCACTGACTATTTTAAACCCTACTAAAGCACAGTCAGAGCTAGGGGTTCTCAAGCAGTATCACTGACTATTTTAAACCTGACTAAAGCACAGTCAGAGCTAGGGGTTCTCAAGCAGTATCACTGACTATTTTAAACCTGACTAAAGCACAGTCAGAGCTAGGGGTTCTCAAGCAGTATCACTGACTATTTTAAACCTGACTAAAGCACAGTCAGAGCTAAGGGTTCTCAAGCAGTATCACTGACTATTTTAAACCTGGCTAAAGCACAGTCAGAGCTAAGGCTTCTCAAGCAGTATCACTGACTATTTTAAACCTGACTAAAGCACAGTCAGAGCTAGGGGTTCTCAAGCAGTATCACTGACTATTTTAAACCTGGCTAAAGCACAGTCAGAGCTAAGGGTTCTCAAGCAGTATCACTGACTATTTTAAACCTGACTAAAGCACAGTCAGAGCTAGGGGTTCTCAAGCAGTATCGCGGACGATTTTAAGTAAACAAAAATTTTACCGGGAAATCCTCTAGACTAGTCCTTGGCAAAAACTTATAGAGTATAATTGTCTTTTTTTAAAACCATTTCTTCAAGCCTCAGTTTTTTACGAACTGTCGCTATAAGCCAGGTACTTTAAAACTCTGGATATCAGACAATACCTTTTTTTAAATTTATTTTGGCCTGGATATCAGACAATATCTTTATTTTTTTTTGTTTTGGCCTGAATATCAGATTATATCTCTTTTTTATTTTTACCTGCTCAGACAATATCTAATTTTTTAGTTTCGCATGTATATGATACACTATTTTATTTTATTTTATTTTTTTGCCTGGATATCAGACGAAAGTTAGAGTAGTACACTGACTCTAAGTCTAAACGTGGTGTCAATTTGACCAGACTGCCTTTTGAGAAATACTTTAAACCACTCCCCCCTCCACCACCAACCCCCCCCCCCAAGCCCTTCATTTCCCTTTCAGATCATTGCACCCCCCAACCATTTTTTCCCCAACCTGAAGTGGATGTGGGTGCAGTTAAGACAGGGGGACATTTTCAGTACTTTCCACAGGTGCCACATACCAGCGTCCCCAAACGGTGGTCCGTGGACCGGCACCGGTCCGCAAGCCTTACGTTACCGGTCCAGAGAATATGAATAGTGATGTTTAAATAGAAAAAAAATGTAATTAATAAATCGGGCGCCGGTCCCTTGTGCAGTTTCGAAGCTTGTCTACCAGTCCGTGAAGCTTGTCTACCGGTCCGTGAAGCTTGTCTACCGGTCCGTGAAGCTTGTCTACCGGTCCGTGAAGCTTGTCTACCGGTCCGCGAAGCTTGTCTACCGGTCCGTGAAGCTTGTCTACCGGTCCGTGAAGCTTTTCTACCGGTCCGTGAAACTTAAAAGTTTGGGAAACGCTGCCCTATATTGTTGCCAGCTAGGAAAGTTGTCATTTTTGTGTGGTCATAATGCAGAATTTTAAGACACTGCACTAGACGGGACTAGAACTTTGTCTTAAGAAGCTAACCAAAATCTTAAGTCTGGCCGTGATCGGATTCTGAATTCATCAATTCTACTAACAAGAAGTTAAGGGGAGATCATTTTTTGTAAACTTAATTACTTAAAGTTATAGCACGTTTTTAGGTCTGGTCATTGGGTCACGTGACGCCTGGCTTGTACCATCAGCAGGTGTGATGAATGTTACACAGCACAGAGCCACAGCACAGAGCCACAGCACAGAGCCACATCACAGAGCCACAGCTTCATAATTACAGAGTCAGAATTTGAGTTTAACTGGATAGAGGTGGGACTTGATGTTAAACTTCACACGGAGCGTCTAGTGTTTAACTGGACACAGGATGAGTCTGTTTAACTGGACACCGTATGAGTCCAAGTGTTTAACTAGACACAAGGATGTGTCTAAGTGTTTAACTGGATGAAATATGAGTCTAATTGTTTAACTGGACACTGTATGAGTCTACGTGTTTAACTGGACTCAGAATGAGTCCAACTGTTTTACTGGACAGAAGACTGAGTCTAAGTGTTTAACTGCAAAAGGATGGACACCAGTATGAGTCTAAGCTCTTACCTGGATATTTGTTCTTGCTTATACACCTAAGAGATTGCTCAGACGACTCTCCACACCTAAGAGACTGCTCAGACGACTCTCCATGGCTCGGCTCAAAACTGTGGAGGAAGTCTCCTGAGGGCGTTGCCATGGTGACGATTACTGTGTGATTGTTGTTAAAGCAACGAACCGCTTCTAAATATAGGTCACACTCCAGAAACGTCGGCAGGAAGAAGTAATCGCCACAAGTGTCTGGAACTGAAATAAAATTTAAAAAAACGATAAAAAGCGTCCTTGCATGTGTCATGTCAAATTTGAATGGTGGGATTGTTTTTAAAGGGGTTTAGTAACGTTTTTGACATCTTAAGTGAAATGATTGATGTCACTGACGTCCTTTCGTGACACACCATGATATATGACACTGGGGTCATTTAGTGACAAGGAATGACAGATGTCACTGACGTTATGTAGTGACAAGCAATGACAGATGTTACCACACACTTGCTTGGCCGTACTGACGTCATTTAATGACAAGCAATGACAGTCGCTACTGACGTCATTTAGTGACAAGCGAGTACCACACTCTTGCGTGGCCGTACTGACGTCCTTTTGTGACAAGCAGAAGTCGCTTCAAGATTTTAAAATAATTTATCCGGTTGGCAAAGAAGGCAGTTGTAACTAATTTAAAAGCATTGTAGATTCCAAAATAATATGTTTTTACAGCATTTATCTACAAGATGTGGATTCAATGGGGTGAGAACTGTCTACATGTCTGCATTGAATCATAGTGCCTCGAGATTCTTCTAACTTAAAAAAGTAGCAAGATTGTAAGACAACAGACTAATCGAGCTGCATTTCATGAGACAGCGGACTGAATAAGTATTAGATTTTAAGACAGTAGACTTAACAAGTAGTAATCTGGATCAGTTTGTTGGAACCTTGGCACACATGGCACGAGTCTCATGTTCTCATTCACATGTTAAACCTTTTCTCCGCCTCCTCCTCGTTACCACCACTAGCAGTGGATTTACTCTTCCCCTCTTCCCTCCGATTGTGCATGTATTTAATCTCTCGCCTACTTATATTCTGTAACATTTCTCTTGCTGTCCTATTAACTACTCATATTCTGTCACATTTCTCTTGCTGTCCTATCAACTACTCATGTTCTGTCACATTTCTCTTGCTGTCCTATCAACTACTAATTTTCTGTCACATTTCTCTTGCTGTCCTATCAACTAATCATGTTCTGTCACATTTCTCTTGCTGTCCAATCAACTACTCATGTTCTGTCACATTTCTCTTGCTGTCCTATCAACTACTCATGTTCTGTCACATTTCTCTTGCTGTCCTATCGGCTACTTAAGTTCTGTCACATGTCTCTTGCTGTCCTCTCACCTACTTAAGTTCTGTCACATTTCTCTTGCTGTCCTCTCACCTACTTATGCCCTGTCACATTTCTCTTGCTGTCCTCTCACCTACTCATGCTCTGTCACATTCCTCTTGCTGTCCTCTCACCTACTTAAGTTCTGTCACATTTCTCTTGCTGTCCTCTCACCTACTTATGCCCATTCACATTTCTCTTGCTGTCCTCTCACCTACTTAAATTCTGTCACATTCCTCTTGCTGTCCTCTCACCTACTTAAGTTCTGTCACATTTCTCTTGCTGTCCTCTCACCTACTTAAGTTCTGTCACATTTCTCTTGCTGTCCTCTCACCTACTTATGCTCTGTCACATTTCTCTTGCTGTCCTCTCACCTACTTAAGTTCTGTCACATTCCTCTTGATGTCCTCTCACCTACTTAAGTTCTGTCACATTTCTCTTGCTGTCCTATCAGATACTACATTGCAGCTAAGTGTTTTTCTTTTTTAAATGTATTTTGTTTTGACTGTTCTTTGTTCACTGAAGAAGGTTTCCTACCGACACTTTCCTTGTTTTGTTGCGTCCTATTTTTCAGGTTTCTCCATACTCTTTTCCGATAATTTCCTTTTACCTAACTTGATGGAACTCTTTTCCCTTTATTACCATGGTAGACTGTAAGATAGCAGATTTCTAGAGAAAGTCCAGGAAAAGGAAGATAATATGTGAGAGCAGAGATTCAGCCTTGATGTTAGCTGACTACCTTGCCCACCCTTCCCCCCTTCCCAAACATTTCTAGGACAACGCCAACTCTCAGCTGAAATCTTGGCAGCCTTTTCCCCATGTCACTACTGCACTTTGCTGAAGTTTTTATTTTAAGGCGAAGGCCGTTAAAGTAACACGGCTAATCCAGTTATTCCATCAATGTTTTGCCAACTGTAGGTCTGTGGGTAACGGGGGCTAATCCAGTTATTCCATCAATGTTTTGCCAACAGCAGGTCTGTGGGTAATGGGGGTTTATCCAGTTATCCCATCAATGTTTTGCCAAATGCAGGTCTGTGGGTAACGGGGGTTAATCCAGTTATTTCATCAATGTTTTGCCAACTGCAGGTCTGTGGGTAACGGGGGCTAATCTAGTTATTTCATCAATGTTTTGCCAACTGCAGGTCTGTGGGTAACGGGGGTTATTCCAGTTATTCCATCAATGTTTTGCCAACTGCAGGTCTGTGGGTAACGGGGGCTAATCCAGTTATTCCATCAATGTTTTGCCAACTGCAGGTCTGTGGGTAACGGGGGTTAATCCAGTTATTCCATCAATGTTTTGCCAACTGCAGGTCTGTGGGTAACGTGTTTCTGTTCATTTAGATGTAAACACAGCAATGTCTTACAATTTCTTCATTTGTTAAATGTTATTAATTATCTTTCCGTCAAATAATGTTTCTGTTCTGATAGCACAAATCCCGTTTTCATTCTCCCTTGCCTAGTCTAAGTGTCACTTGCAAATGTGTCTCAACATGCACATCTCACTATTTCTTGTGTCTCAACATAAACATCTAACACCTTCTTATGTGTCTCAACATAAACATAGTAAATTTTTTTTTACCTCTCTCGGCATAAAAATCTCCCACATTGTTAACTGTCTCAACATAAACATCTCAAACTTTTTTAAATGTTTCAACATAAACATCTCACCCTTTCTTATGTGTCTCACATAAACATCTCACCCATTCTTATGTGTCTCACATAAACATCTCACACTTTCTTATGTGTCTTAACATAAACATCTCACACTTTCTTATGTGTCTCAACATGAACATCTCACACTTTCTTACCTGTCTCGACATAAAAATCTCACACCTTGTTAACTGTCTCAACATAAACATCTCAAAAAAATTTCATGTCTCAACATAAACAGCTCACACTTTTTACCTGTCTCGACATAAAAATCTTACACTTTATTATGTGTCTTAACATAAACATCTCATAGTTTCGTATGTGTCTTAACACAAACATCTCAGAGACATCAACCCATTGTGTATGAGATTATTTTCTTGCATTAAAGTCTATTTAAAACATTATCTTTCCGACGACTGAGAAATTTATTTAACTGTTGGTGAATATTGATTGAATTATTTAGACCCAATCTCTAGTCTCTTGACATTTCACTTCTGCTACTGACGTCAATTTTCTGGCATCGCAGCAGGACGTCACGAGCTCTAAAAATCAATTTCAGACGTCTTGATTTTTTCGTCAATTTCCCGACAGATGCCGTTCTCTATTTTATAAATAGTCTAGTATTTTCCTTTTTTTATATACTTGACTAGTCGGCCCTCGGCGTAGGATACGCCGCAGAATTGCTCATTGATGAGTGAAGACTTCGTGAAAGACACATCTGTCCAAATGGGGTGGGTTTGAGGATACAACTGTGATATAGCCCGCCAAACATTGGCGACCGCAATGCGTGAACTTCCAATCATACAATAAACTTACCAGACAAAACATGAACTCAAGTAACGCAACTTTAAGAATCCCAATATTTGCTGCACCCATTCCCCCCTTGATACGTCACTGCACACTTTTTATTTCACGCCCATGAACTATATTAATATTCTCATGTCCCAACCACTTTTAAACCGAATATTTTTTTACACAATATTTAAATTGAGACGATTTCATTTCCGCAAAGAAAATATTACGCACCAAACGCAATTGCGTTATTAAAAATACATATATATCATTTAGCGTAGTTATCGGGAATTTTATTTTACGCGCTAGTGAACTCATTATTGAACCACACTCTGACATATCTATAAATAGCCTGCGTGGTGTTTCACCCGCCTTGTTTTTTGACCTTTGTTGGCGAATTATATATTTAGATATTAACTTCGCTTTTGTGAATTTTGGGGTAAAATCTTAAGAAGGCTGATTGACCGACTTCCCGTTAACCTATCGAGCTGAAACCAAGCGCATTGACTCGTTGCCGATGACAACACATTCTTGTAAATTTTCAGCCCCCACCCTCACCCCCAAAACAAACCAAAAAAAACCACCACCACCACCACCCCCACCACCACCCCCACCACCACCACCACCACCACCACCAACACCACCACCACCGCCACCACCCCCGCCGCCACCACCACCACCACCACCACCACCACCACCACCACCACCACCACCACCACCACCACCACCACCACCACCACCCCCACCACCACCACCACCACCCCCACCCCCACCACCACCACCACCACCACCACCACCACCACCACCACCACCACCACCACCACCACCACCACCCCCACCACCACCACCTCCACCACCACCCCCACCCCCACCACCACCACCACCACCACCACAAAAAATCAGTTGTTGTTGTTTTTCCCTATTTTTCAAGGGGAAGATCAAGGATACATTATGACAATTATTTTATCAAATAAAATTACCGCTATCTGCGCTTAATGAGATTCTTTTTTTCTTTTAATATCGCAAGTTCGTTTGGTGCGTAATATTTTCTTTTGCCTTTCTGAAATAGTTGGTGAGATAAATCTGCGGTGTAACAGTGGGGGGGGGGGCGTGGGGGGACATTAGGTTATTTCTATTTCTCATGGACGTGAAAAAAATGTGCAGTTAATAGGGTGGGGTTGGATTGATTGGGATTCTCATACATTGCATTACTTGTAAGCATGTTTTGTCAAATTTTCAGCCCCAACCCTAGTGTTCGATAATACATGTTATAAATCAGTTATACTAACTTTGTTTAAGGGTTTCAAACAGATAATGAAATAATTGGTTCCTATATTACTAGCAAAAAGAAAGAGCCATTATTTGCCATTATCTATGACAGCAGGATGACGTTGGAGATAATGTTTTGGCTCATTCAATAACCTCATGACGTCAGAAGTAAATGTTAGTTAAAACGGGACTAGACACGCTTCCGGTCATCTGTGATATTTGTTCGGGGCTGGTGGAAAATGTCGTGTTCCCCTGGGTGTGTGTTAGTGGTGGGGGGGGGTAGTTTCTGGCACGATAGATTTATTTAGCACTGATGGGATGGTGATCCATTACTCTATAAGGTTTTTCATGATGGTATTATGCAAAGTCAATGATCTTCATGCTGGACTTTTTATGGTCTCAGACAATATAAACATTTTATAGTCTCCCCCTATAAGAACTTTTTATGGTCTCAGACAATATAAACATTTTATTAGTCTCCCCCTATAAGAACTTTTTATGGTCTCAGACAATATAAACATTTTATTAGTCTCCCCCTATAAGAACTTTTTATGGTCTCAGACAATATAAACATTTTCTTCTTCTTCTTCTATATCTTAAGGGCCCACGATCAATTTATTGATCATTTTGGCTCCTATGCATGTAGATGGGATTTGCAATGTTTCTGTTACTGGTGGTGATGAGGAAATTATGCACTAGGGGTTTGAAGGCTTGAGGCAATAGACACAAATGTGTCTANTCCCCCTATAAGAACTTTTTATGGTCTCAGACAATATAAACATTTTATTAGTCTCCCCCTATAAGAACTTTTTATGGTCTCAGACAATATAAACATTTTATTAGTCTCCCCCTATAAGAACTTTTTATGGTCTCAGACAATATAAACATTTTATTAGTCTCCCCCTATAAGAACTTTTTATGGTCTCAGACAATATAAACATTTTATTAGTCTCCCCCTATAAGAACTTTTTATGGTCTCAGACAATATAAACATTTTATTAGTCTCCCCCTATAAGAACTTTTTATGGTCTCAGACAATATAAACATTTTATTAGTCTCCCCCTATAAGAACTTTTTATGGTCTCAGACAATATAAACATTTTATTAGTCTCCCCCTATAAGAACTTTTTATGGTCTCAGACAATATAAACATTTTATTAGTCTCCCCCTATAAGAACTTTTTATGGTCTCAGACAATATAAACATTTTATTAGTCTCCCCCTATAAGAACTTTTTATGGTCTCAGACAATATAAACATTTTATTAGTCTCCCCCTATAAGAACTTTTTATGGTCTCAGACAATATAAACATTTTATTAGTCTCCCCCTATAAGAACTTTTTATGGTCTCAGACAATATAAACATTTTATTAGTCTCCCCCTATAAGAACTTTTTATGGTCTCAGACAATATAAACATTTTATTAGTCTCCCCCTATAAGAACTTTTTATGGTCTCAGACAATATAAACATTTTATTAGTCTCCCCCTATAAGAACTTTTTATGGTCTCAGACAATATAAACATTTTATTAGTCTCCCCCTATAAGAACTTTTTATGGTCTCAGACAATATAAACATTTTATTAGTCTCCCCCTATAAGAACTTTTTATGGTCTCAGACAATATAAACATTTTATTAGTCTCCCCCTATAAGAACTTTTTATACAGTCTCCAAATTTGTGAACTTTTTAATTGTAAGAAATTGGAACAAATTTTAAATTCGAAGCGTGGACACATTTTGGACTCGATTTTTCAGACAAATGATTTCATTCAACACATTTCGCAAAAGATTTATGCAAGCTAAACATTCCAGACATAAGTCTTAAAAAGCCTACGGATCAGAGCTGTATGTTATCAGTAATAATAATATTAATAATAATAAAGTTCATTTCAAAAACACGCTTCATCCCCAAAGGCTCGAAGCGCGGTACAAAGTCAACAAAAAACAAATCTATAATTTACCACTAAACAAACGCAACACTACAAAAACTAATTACTAGCATACAATGGCAAAGTCTCTCTAGCCATTTCAACCCCAAGCAACACAGCCATCATGCATTAACTGGAAAATAAGGTTGACAATCATCCCAGAAGGTGTTTGCGAAATAGGTGTGTCTTTAAATTGGTTTTTAAGGACTCCAGTGTCTGGTTGTTTCTGAGATCGACTGGAAGGGCGTTCCAAATTGTTGGACCAGCAAATGCGAAAGTGCGCTTTCCGTAAGTCTCAAGGCAAACACGGGGTGTCGAGAGTTTGCCACTATCGGATGAGCGGAGCTCTCTAGTGGGTACATAAGGCGTAAGCAGCTCTTTCAGTTAAGACGGCGCCAGGTCATGTAAGCAGCGGTAGCACAATGTTGCGATTTTGTACTCAATGCGAGCACGGACCGGCAGTACTAATGTTGTAATCAAAACAACATACAACTCTGTCTCCTAAAGTGTCCCGAAACAATTGACCACAAAAAACAATTATTATATTTTTTTTATAACTATATTTAAAATATGTAATATTTTTGTATGGGAGCGTGGAGCACCAAAAATATCTCAGCGGACCTACGGCTGGTCCACCGTAATAACAAATGAGTGTATGTGGGCCATCTGTTGATCCAAATTTGTCTACAATGCAACTCACCATTAGAAGAGCGGCCAAAACCCGGAAATGCAACTGTTAAACAACCTGTCGTGAAAAGAAGAAAAAAAATAGCATTTTAATATTCATATTCTTAGTGCCTGAAAATGCGCAACTTAATATAAATGGCTAAATTTAAAAAAAACAAATATTAAAAGTCAAAATTCATTCCAATGTTATTATTCATAAGATGTCTTATTCAGCTCACTGAATTGAAATACAACAGCTAAAGCAATAACTATTACTAGCTATAGCCCGCCAAACATTGACGAGGGCAATACGTGAGCTTCCCATCAACTAAAGCTACCTGACAAAACATGAACTCAAGGAACGCACATTTAATAATCTTTAATTTTCACTACACCCCTTCCCCCATGATAGGTCACTGGACACTTTTTATTTCACGTCCATGAACTGTATAAAGTATTCTGATGTCCAAAACCACTTTTAAACCGAATATTTTTTCTCACATCATCCTGAGATGATTTCATGTTACGGGAAAAAAAAAAAATATACGCCAAACGTAGTTCCGTTATTTAAAAATCATTTCTAGTAGTTACAAGGAATTATATTTTGCACGCTATTGAACTCATTATTGAACCATACTTTCTTTCTAACATAAAGAATTATTTTTAATATACTCTCAATACCAAATTCGCTGATTAGCAAGCAGTCTACTCGGAAGCAGTCCACGAGTCACACCAGAAGCGTAATTTATATAAGATATTTTTTTTCTTTAATCTATCACCACAATATATGCTGAACATTAAACACGCTGCTTCCCATCACAGGATTACAAAAATAGAATGGCGCCCGACTGGCTCAATTCCCATCAGAAGCGCTAATTGAAAACAAGAGTGAAACAAAGCCAGTTCGATCATCTTGCATTGTTCCGGATATAGCGATCAAGTCAGTTGACTTCCCGTCTATGGCTGTTCGAAAGTGGTGGTGGGGGGGGGCAACAACCCCGGGCTCCAACAATTGTCATGTGTCATGCGAAATATTAGTATATGTTAATAGAAGGGGAATAAGGCGCCTTAATCCATTATTTGTCCCAGGCACAGCTTTTGCTTGTCAACACCCTGTACGCATGAAAACCAAAACCCAAGACCTACTACCCATGACAACCAAAGCCCAAGACCTACTACCAATGACAACCAAAGCCCAAGACCTACTACTCATGACAACCAAAGCCCAAGACCTGCTACCAATGACAACCAAAGCCCAAGATCTACTAACCATGACAAACCCAAGACCTACTATCAATGACAACCAAAGCCCAAGACCTACTACCAATGACAACCGAAGCCCAAGACCTACTAACCATGACAACCAAAGCCCAAGACCTACTACCAATGACAACCAAAGCCCAAGATCTACTAACCATGACAAAATCCAAGACCTACTATCAATGACAACCAAAGCCCAAGACCTACTACCAATGACAACCGAAGCCCAAGACCTACTAACCATGACAAAACCCAAGACCTAATATCAATGACAACCAAAACCCAAAACCTACTACCAATGACAACCAAAGCCCAAGATCTACTAACCATGACAAAACCAAAGACCTACTATCAATGACAACCAAAGCCCAAGACCTACTACCAATGACAACCAAAGCCCAAGACCTACTTCCAATGAAAACCAAAGCCCAAGATCTACTACTCATGACAACCAAAGCCCAAGACCTACTACCCATGACAAAGCCTAAGACCTACCACCCATGACAAAGCCTAAGACCTACCACCCATGACAAAGCCCAAGACCTACCACCCATGACAAAGCCTAGGACCTACCACACATGACAAAGCCTAAGACCTACTACCCATGACAAAGACAAAGACCTACCACCCATGACAAAGCCTAAGACCTACCACCCATGACAAAGCCTATGACCTACCACCCATGACAAAGCCTAGGACCTACAACCCATGACAAAGCCTAAGACCTACCACCCATGACAAAGCCTAATACCTACCACCCATGACAAAGCCTAAGACCTACCACCCATGACAAAGCCTAGGACCTTCCACCCATGACACTTACCCAAGACAACGAAACCACTGACCTACTTACCCATGACAACAAAACTCTATGACACTTACCAAAGGCAACAAAACCATTGACCTACTTACACGTGACAACGTAACCATCAGACCTACTTAACTGTGACAACGTAACCATCAGACCTACTTACCTGTGACAACGTAACCATCAGACCTACTTACCTGTGACAACGTAACCATCAGACCTACTTACCTGTGACAACGTAACCATCAGACCTACTTACCCGTGACAACGTAACCATCAGACCTACTTACCCGTGACAACGTAACCATCAGACCTACTTACCTGTGACAACGTAACCATCAGACCTACTTACCCGTGACAACGTAACCATCAGACCTACTTACCTGTGACAACGTAACCATCAGACCTACTTACCCGTGACAACGTAACCATCAGACCTACTTACCCGTGACAACGTAACCATCAGACCTACTTACCCGTGACAACGTAACCATCAGACCTACTTACCCGTGACAACGTAACCATCAGACCTACTTACCCGTGACAACGTAACCATCAGACCTACTTACCCGTGACAACGTAACCATCAGACCTACTTACCCGTGACAACGTAACCATCAGACCTACTTACCCGTGACAACGTAACCATCAGACCTACTTACCCGTGACAACGTAACCATCAGACCTACTTACCCGTGACAACGTAACCATCAGACCTACTTACCCGTGACAACGTAACCATCAGACCTACTTACCCGTGACAACGTAACCATCAGACCTACTTACCCGTGACAACGTAACCATCAGACCTACTTACCCGTGACAACGTAACCATCAGACCTACTTACCCGTGACAACGTAACCATCAGACCTACTTACCCGTGACAACGTAACCATCAGACCTACTTACCCGTGACAACGTAACCATCAGACCTACTTACCCGTGACAACGTAACCATCAGACCTACTTACCCGTGACAACGTAACCATCAGACCTACTTACCCGTGACAACGTAACCATCAGACCTACTTACCCGTGACAACGTAACCATCAGACCTACTTACCCGTGACAACGTAACCATCAGACCTACTTACCCGTGACAACGTAACCATCAGACCTACTTACCCGTGACAACGTAACCATCAGACCTACTTACCCGTGACAACGTAACCATCAGACCTACTTACCCGTGACAACGTAACCATCAGACCTACTTACCCGTGACAACGTAACCATCAGACCTACTTACCCGTGACAACGTAACCATCAGACCTACTTACCTGTGACAACGTAACCATCAGACCTACTTACCCGTGACAACGTAACCATCAGACCTACTTACCCGTGACAACGTAACCATCAGACCTACTTACCCGTGACAACGTAACCATCAGACCTACTTACCTGTGACAACTAAAGCGTGTGCCCTACTTAAACATGACAATATAAAAATATGTCCTACCTGCTGAGACAAAATAGCCCTATGACCTACTTACCCATGACAACCAAAGCCGAGAGGTCAAATTTGGTGAAAGACTTCCGGAACGGACAACGCATCTTATTTCAACAAGAGTGCTCTCCCTATTTCAACCCATTGGTTACCGGAACGTGTCCAGGGGCAATTACTCTGTAATGGGCATTAATCGCAAGATTCAAAACTTGCTTTTGAAAAACAATGGCTGACTTTGGTAGGTGCCTATGGAGCAATCGCTGATTTCATTCAAATTATGAAGACTTGACCTGCCCAGTCGGATTGAATGGAGGCGAAGCAGACAAGCGTCTTGTGAATAAATCAATGGAGGAATTGAAAAGCGGTTCTCATATTTAGGAGAATGACCCCTTTTTAAGTCTGCACTGAGCGCGCGCACACACACACACACACACGATGATCCAGGCTGTAAGCAATTATAGCATGAGATGGCCTCGACCTATTTACATGTCTCAGAGTGTTTCGAATAAAGTGGCCTCTTAAATATGTGTATCTGTTTCTAACCCAACTTTCTCGATTGTTTTCTATAGCGTGGGCATGCGCAGATTCGAGAAATTAATAAATCCTTTTGATAGATGACGTTTCAGTTGTGTTTGCTCTTTGGGAGATCAATGGCTGAGTCACGTTTGCTCTTTGGCAGATCAATGTCTGAGTCACGTGTGCTCTTGGGCAGAGTTGAGATGCCATGCGCGGCGTTCAGCCTTGCACACAGCTGCCAGGGCACGAGAGGACGGTCAAGAAGGATTCAGCATTGAGGAACGTTAACGTCCCTCAGATCCGACAGAGAGGCCCGTGCTGAACGTGGCCGAGACGAGGCTTTAACAAAAACCATACATTGAGCTGTAGTGAAGCTGCAGATCTTGTTCGACGCATGATGTCTCATTCCCTTTTAAGTAGCCAGCTGAGTGTTTTTTTTTTGTTTTTTTTTTAAGTTATTTTTTTTTTACTTTTTCAGAAGTCTGGCTGAAGGCGCTAGTTGTTAACTCCTGCTTCTGACCGGATGTTCACTCATTATGCAAAATTTTCTGTGGAATTAAAAAAAAAATAATAATTTCATTAAATTAATTTTTAAAAAGCTATTAATGTAAAAATTGTATATAAGTGAAGTTAGAGAGGGTCAAATACTAAAATCATGATCTGAAGTTCTAAGAGTTTTCTAAAGTGTTGTAATAAGGAATATCTAATTCCCTTAAAGTTTGCATCCTCTCGACTCAATGAAATGTACAGCTAGAGACAGATTTTATTTGATGAAGCCATTAAATGTTTGGTAAACTTGGCGTACAAGGAACTCTGCTTTATATCTACTACATCCCTAGGCTGGGGTACCACGCTCTATAATACCGCAGTAATAATAATATCTTGCCCATGGAATGTTAGGTAAACTTAACAAGCTGAGTACATTGAACACGTGATCATCATCATTCATATGGCCGTTTGGCACGGGACCATAATGAAAGCTTGTACCAGCCCCATGTACCGCCTTGTACCGCCCGCAATTTACCGCCTTGTACCAGACCGGTTGTACCGCCTTGTACCAGACCCGTTGTACCGCCTTGTACCAGCCCCGGTGAACCGACTTGTACCTACACCAGTGTACCACCTTTACATGCCCCAGTGTACCGCCTTTTACCGGCCCCCATGTACCGCCTTTTACGGGCACCCATGTACCGCCTTGTACCTCTCCCAGTGTACCGCCCTGTATCGGCCCCAGTTACCGCCTTGTAACGGCCCCAGTGTACCACCTTGCACCGGCCCAAGCGTACAGCTTTGTACAGGCCCCAGTGTACCGCCTTGTACCTCCCCAGTGTACCGCCTTGTACCTCCCCTAGCGTACTGCCTTGTACCTCCCCTAGTGTACCGCTTGTACCGGCCCCAGTGTACAGCCTTGTACTGGCCCCAGTGTACTGGCTTGTACAGGCCCCAGTGTACTGCCTTGTACCCCCCCCCTCCTTTGCCCCACCCACAGTCTTACTGTTTTGTGACCCCCAAAGCAAAAACTTCCAAGTTTGCCCTAATAATAGCTCAAATAATTCTCCCCTGCTCAGAGCCACCACACCTCCTTTTGTCTAAGCTCGATAACATTCTAACCACGCCTCCTTGTCTAATCCATACAACAGCTAAACCACGCCTCCTTGTCTAATCCATACAACAGCTAAACCACGCCTCCTTGTCTAATCCATACAACAGCTAAACCACGCCTCCTTGTCTAATCCAGACAACAGCTAAACCACGCCTCATTGTCTAATCAAGGCAACAGCTAAACCACGCCTCCTTGTCTCATCCAGGCAACAGCTAAGCCACACCACGCCTCCTTGTCTACTCCATACAACAGCTACACCACGCCTCCTTGTCTAATCCATACAACAGCTAAACCACGCCTCCTTGTCTAATCCATACAACAGCTAAACCACGCCTCCTTGTCTAATCCAGACAACAGCTAAACCACGCCTCCTTGTCTAATCAAGACAACAGCTAAACCACGCCTCCTTGTCTAATCCTGGCAACAGCTAAACCACGCCTCCTTGTCTAATCCTGGCAACAGCTAAACCACGCCTCCTTGTCTAATCCAGGCAACAGCCAAGTACGAGCGAAGCTTAAATTTAATGACTCGTTTTTTCTTGTGGGAAATCTAATCTAGGTTCCCTCAGTGAGTCTCACACGTCGATTACAGCTGCCCCATTCAAAATCACATGAATATTTGATCAACTCCCAACATTAAGCGATCGTTAAATCGAGAGAAGACTTCAGTAAAATATTTCCCTGAAGATGGGGTACTCAGTCCTACGCATTATTGCTCATGCTCCAGGGACGTTGTAGGGTGGAAGCCTTACAGCTTTAGAACCCCACCGGCAGTGTCTAGACTCTAGACCAGAGGTCTCAAACTCGCGGCCCGCAAGACGATACTTTACGACCCGATACCTGACAGCAAAGTTCATTGTTAAAGGGGCCCGCGCGCTTACTCCATTCTTATATCTATAATGTGACCTTCCGCGACGGTTTCAATCGAATCTCACCGAATATTCTAATTTTGATTTTTTATTATGTTTGTATAGATTTGGGCGTTGATTAAACGTTTGAAAATCGTACTAAAAGTTTTTATTGTAAAGCCTTTAACGAGACAAACACAAACATGACCAAAGTGCCAAAGTTTTGAGAAAAGTCGGTGGGTAATGCAATACCATAAGTGTAAAAATTGTAGAAATCTGACACAGCGCCAAAGAATCCCTATTAGTGTTTACGAGAAAGGGAAATTCCGAGCCTGTCAGCTTGGTCACTTTCAAAATAGGATTAGTCAAAAAGGCCTTTCCGACGATTAAAAAAAATCAAAATTAATTTACCTTTCTATCTTCGCATCAACAATAAATAAATATTGCCTGAACCTGCCAAGTGTTTGAACACGTTTCAGCCTTAAAAGTCTGCATGGAGAAGGATGGGGTGATGGTTGTTCCCGTACTAAGTGATCCCAAACGGCTCATGCAGTTGGCTTTTCTTGTTTACGTTACACAGGAGCAGAATGCACTCAAAAAATATTACAAGACCAGGGGCAGCTTGTCAGTGTTGCCTATGACAATGTCAGGGAAGCTGCACAAAACTTGTGTTATGGTTCTCAGAGAAATCCTCTGACATTTCCCAAAATGTACTCATGGACTCGGGCACACCATTCAGTAGGAAGTATAATGATGCCATTGCAAAGCTACAGGAAGAATTTGATCAAATTTTTGGAGACTCTAAAACACACAGAGCCACTTTTCAAATGTGTGCTGACCCTTTCTCCTTCAATGTTGAAGATACTACCCCCCCCCCCCTTTTCCCACACACACACACTTTTTTTTCCGCTTCAAATGGAGCTGATTGATCTTCAGTGCAAGTTCAGGGAGATGAATGAAAAAACAGACAAGCATGGACAATTTATGAGAGCAATGCCCTCCAACATACCTCAGATTTACAGGTTCATGTGCCTTTTTGGAGTACCTATCTGTGTGAAAAGCTCTTTTCCACTATGAACTTTAACAAGTCAAAGTTCAGGGCAAAACTTGCTGATGAGCATCTTCAAGCTATACTGAGGTTCTCAGATTTTTCCTCATTCAAGACAAATGTTGCTTGGCTGTGTGAGAAGACGCACTGCCAGATCTCTGGCTACAAGGAGTAGGAGGAAGAACGTGATGCCTAGTTCTTGATAACACTTAATGTATTCATTTGTTATTTATAAAGGTTGAGCAGATTGTAACAGTTGTACTTTATTGAATTTGTAATCACTTTTCTGTTGAATAATTGATGCGGCCTAGTCTCACTCAGACTCTACCTCCTGCGGCCCCCGAAAAAATTTGAGTTTGAATTTAAGGCATGTTCTAATTAATAAAATGGCAGTCATTGTCTACGGCTTTGCTTATTCAATCGTTTATATTAACTTCGCATTTTTTCGCGTGTTTCTGTGTTAAAGGCACAATCTTCGGACGGCTATTTGACCCACTTCCCGTCACATAGACTCGTTCCCGATGACAACAAATTCTTTCAAATATTCAGCCCCACCCCATCCCCCAAAAATCAGTTTTGAATGCCACCAGACGACACTGATGTCACCTAATAAAATTCACGATAAAAGCCTTTTTTTTTTTTTAAATGTATCGCACGTGCGTTTGTTGGGGTAACATATTCTTTTGTTTTTTTCTGAGGCAGTTGGTGTAATAAATCTGCGGTTTAAAAAGCGAGTGGAACAATAGAATATTAATATAGCTCAGGGGCGTAAAAAAAAAAAATATGCGGTTGCGAGCCGGGGGTCGGGGGAGTAATTAGGATTCTTATAAAGTTCGTTACTTGAATACATGTTTTGTCAAATTTTCAGCCATCCCCAATTTCTCGATATTATATTTTATCAATGTTTTATGCATATAAACTTTGGTTTTAGAGGTCCATTACATTTTATTTGATAGGGTTTATGTGTCAAACGTATGTGTCAGATATCTTATAGCGACAGTAACTATCTGTCAAAAGAATGTGTCAGATATCTTATAGCGACAGTAACTATCTGTCAAACGTATGTTTCAGATATCTTTTTGCGACAGATATATCATGTCAACTATCTTTCAAACTCTTGTTCCAGTTATCTTACAGCGACAGATATATTATGTCACCTATCATCAAGGTCCATATTTAAGTAGACTTTTACAATTGTGAAGCGTTATCTTTCGTATCATCTCATCTTGTTAATTAAACATTAAAACGGTTGGTAGAAATATTTGTCTTAGTCATGTATCCTGCCTTTGCTTGGTGGCATGTATCCTGC